ATATGTAGATGGTGAGATGGTCAGATGGTGGTTTTAATTTGTCTTGAGTGCACTTTAACGACAAGACAAGAAGCTGTTAACCAGCAAAAGAAGGAAGCTAAGGCAAGGACGAAAAGAAGAAGAAAAATACTCGTTAGCTGGCAGTGGCAAAAGCTAAGAACTGTTATACGAAGAAATGTAGCATTTGTAGAGGGGCAAAAATAAATGTTTTCAAATGTTTGACGCGTACTGACAACAAATAAGCACATACACTCACACACGCACACACACACATACAGGCTGCTTGACAAGCGTACAATACACTGAAAGATGTGTGCATACAGACAAACACCCACACACTCACACGCACGCATTTGTCTTGCTGTGTGTGCGTGCATTTAATGTCTGTAATTTACCGTTAAGTAGACAAGTATTAATGGTGAAATACCAACGGAATGCGTAGCGCTGCGCAACTTAACAAACATACAAAACGGCCACAGCCGGAGACAAGACGAGCGCTCAAACAAAGGCGCCCAAAGGCAGCCATCAAAAAAAAATAAAAAAAAAAGAAAAAGAAAAGGCAGCTGAAAACAAAATGGCGACGAGGACAACATCAGTTTGACTTGACGTTGAAGTTACATGTTAACTGTGGCAGTGCCACCCCCACGTACAAGCACACAGGCGCACGCACACACACACACAAACAGGCAGACACCCACACATAGACACAAATAAGCAATTGTCAATGTGGCGCGCGCATGTTGCCTCCCCAGCAGAGATGTCAAAAAAACAAAAAAAAAACGATGCGAAACGAAAAAAGGAAAAAATGAAACGGAAAAAAGAAAACGCCAACAAATTCCAAAGAAAACTCAACTTTGGATTGTTGGCATTTTTGCTGTGTGCTTTGAATGCTGAAAGCGGTATGGAAGCAGCGCGGTATGGGTAAAAGTCCAACAAGGCTCGCAGAAGCCGAGAAGAAAACAACACGTTGAAGAAAAAAGATGGCTCGATGTGCAGATACCCTGTAATGAGAAAAAGAAGAGAAAGAAGCATTTAAATTTAAATTGTAGTTGTAGCTAGAAATGTATGTTATCTCACCGAAGACGTCAAATAAAGCTGCTCGACTTGCAGATGCCCTGTAAGGAAAACTAAGGACACCTAGCTTTAAATTGTAGTCGCAGTTAGAGAGTTTTCAGAGCTTCCACGTAAACATAAAAGAGGCTTAAACTAATTCTGAATAATAATCATGACTAGGGCAAGAGCAGTTAGATATGTGATAATTCGAGGCAATACCCTGGCTGTCTAGCTCGCCGGCTGTTACATACCTGAACTATTTTTTACCACGCCCATTTTGTAGCATTTTATGGGCAGAGGGTATAAAAAAATATTTGCCCGTTAAAATAGTAGATAAGGCGAATAGTAAGAAAGCAGGAATGACAAAACAAACGCGCCATTTTCTTGACGTTCACCAATTTGACATTTTACGTGATTTTGGAGCAGCGGAGAGACGAGGTCACAGCTCACACCCCCAAAACGGTCGGGTGCCGCGGGCAATGTGACTTGCCATTTGCTGAAAATTACAAACTGCCAAACTCTGAGTGTGTGTGTGTGTGTGAGCGCGCGCTGCGCTTATGTAATTGAGTTCGAAAGCGGCCAGTCCAGAAGCCACCGAGCCACGTCCCAGGCCAACCCAGGCCCAAGCCCAAGCCCAAGACCAGCCATAGCACGAGCACATTTTTCACAATTCATTTCATTTTGCAACGCGTTCGCTGCAAGGCAACATTATTACAAAGAATATTGTACCAAATAGAAGAAATGAAAAAATGGCAGCATAACTTAAGGCGCTTTTCCATGAGCACACACAAAAAATAAAAGGCAAAAAAGAAAATTGGGAGCATCTTAAACAAAAAGACGAACAAATGCTGCACAATAATTTGGTTTTGTGTTTACACTTCTGCTTCTCGCTGCGCTGGTTGGCAACATTTCAAAGTCCTGCCAGTTGCCAAGAGCCAGTCCCGGCCAAGACTAGACTAAGATGGATTAAGATTAAGCCCAAGTAGCTCGCGAATAACAGCCCAGCTCCAGCTCCAACTGCAGCTGCAGCTACAATTCCAGCCGCACAAAACAATTTTTCTTGATTTCTGCAGCATTTTGGCTTTTCTACTCGTGCACTTTTCAACCGTTTTCCGGCTTTTCCGCCGCCCGTCAGCTTTGTATGTCTGCGAGCATTAGAAAATAATATTTTATACGCTTCACTTACAATTTTTCTTGTAGTGCTCGCGCTTGGCTGCGCCGTCCAACGCTCCATCTCTGCCCCTGGCTGTTGCAGGGCCTAAGGTTGACGCATCCGTGCCAGCATTTATGTGTATATTTTCGTGTTTGTATGTGCGCGTGTGTGTATGTGTGTGTGTGGTTGGAGTAGCGCCGCCATATTGTCGGAGTTGTTGATGTTGAAAAATGTTACATGCCAGAAATTGCTGGTTACCCACATGGAAATTACGTTGCATGTTTCATTGAGCCAACCGACTGAGCAATCGTCTTCGACTTCTGCTCCGGCAAGCCAAGTTTTAGCCCAATGCGGCTAAAAAGAAATGAAGTAGATGGCGTGGGTGTGGTTGTCTGAACACCAGCTTGGCTATAAGGCCTTAAACCACATTATTTGCCTAACATCCATTGTCACTTGGCTTTGTGGGAGAACCAAACACAAAAGCGTCTAATATAACTACCTTTGTGTTTCCAAGCAATCGAAAGGTGTACGAACACCAGAGTATATGGAAAAGGTTTAAATTATATGCAAAGTATATTCGTTCTTCAGAGGAATTCTTTTGAAAAATTGTGCTAAATGCAATCATTCGAATTATTCGCGTAAGCATCGCTCTCTGCAAATTATATTCAAAAGAACTTAAACTAATTCCGCGTCTTTTCGTTTCCATTATGGCAGAATTTTAAATACTCTGCTGCAGCGTATACAATTCTGGTATTTAACAAGAAGAGCACAGCTCTGTTAAGGAGGCAAGGCTTGCCCAAAAAGTGCCCAATTGTTGGTTGCACGGACAAAAATCAATTTTATTTGAATTTTACAATTTAACCGTAAAACCACAGAAAGCATTTTAAACGCATTTTTAATAGACTCAAAAATGTGTTTTATAAAAGGCGGCTGGATCCACTTCCACATCCCTATCCGCATCCCCATTCGGATGCACATCCGCGGCCAACAGACCGCTGCCAGCGATGCTTGTATGCATCAATGTATCAATATATATTTATATTGTTTGTTACAAAATTTGCGCATTTACAAAAGCCATCGAATGCAGCTGCAAAAAAGCGCTAAAATTATCGTTGGCTTTTCGCAACAGCAGCAGCAGCAGCAGCTCCGTTGTTCTCTGGCATTTTATTTTGCTGATGGAAAATTAGTTTTTGCATGTTGTATAGATTTATCTACCATGTGTGTGTGTGTGTGCGTGTGTGTTTGAGTATCTGTGTTGAATGTTTGCAAATAGTCTGCATACTTTCAGCGCTTATACAAAGTCGCGTGCCTTTTTTGTTGACGTGCAAACGAGCACTTTGCTAGCAAATAGCAAATAACAAACAGCAAATATTTGCAAAGACCGAGCATAAATTGTTTACGTGAACGGAAATTTAAACACACGATCGAGCCGTTGTTGAAGTTAAGCCTAACAAAGCGAGATAGGACGGCCAATATAAGTGATGATCAGATCAAGGCTGTAAGTTTGGTAAACCAAAATTGGAATCGAATTCGTACATCTAGAAAACAAGGTTTGAGAGAGGTTTAAATAGCCCTTGCAGCCTTTACCCAGCTATCTACACCTAATGGCAGTCTGTGTCGCCCATCAAATAAATTCTACATAAATGCTTGGGCAGCCCTCAACTCCGGCGCAAGCTCTGCCTTTGTCATGCCCAATTCTCTGCCTTGGCTCTGTCATCGAACACACATGTCGCGCGCTCGACCCCAAAAACCATAACGCCAACTGACCATGAAATGGAAGTGCATAAAATACATCAATGGGGCTGTTGCTGCTGCCAATTGCACGTTGTGTGGTCAAATAGAAGAATGTTGTTATAAGTGCCATTGGCACTGCTGGCGACGGACATCGAGATGCGGCTATTCGGCTGACCCAACCTCACGGTTGGCCAAACAACGCGCCGTTTGTCGGTGGCCAGGGCAACGCGCTAAAACTCTGTCGCGCAGGGTTAGAGTACCACATCCCTTCGACTGGACGACTGACCATTTAACTTGCGCTGCCGTTTCACCTTTACTACAGCATCCCCTGCTGGCTGGTTGGCTGGCTTCTGCTGTTGGCCAGTATGTGAGTCGTCATGCTCAAGGTCTCCAATTCCTTTAAAATAGCGCCCCATAGTATTCCAGCTTTTAAACATTTTTTCACTGGCGGTCCCCGATGCCAGCTTTGACATTCTGTACATAAGCTCCGGCAATTTAAGCTTATAACAACTGTTCCGAGGCATTTTTCTTTTCGTTTTTTTTTTTCGGTTCTCTTGCGCAACAGCTGTTGCCGTGCAGGGCCCGATGCAAACATATTGAAGGGGCCCATCCACAGTTCCGGCCAATGCCTGGGGGATATCGCCAGCACCCCGGTGTATTGTAACGAGCATTGCTGCTCAGCTCTTTTTTTCCTTCAGTTTTCAATTGTTTGTAACATTGGGTGAGAGTTTTCCATTCGATGAATTCCACTCGCTATATGTTCAATGGATATCTGTAAAATAAGTTTCGGCTAAAAATAAATATATTAGTAACCAAAAGTTAATTTGATCAAAAATAGTTGAAGCCGTGAATAGAATACAATCGGTACCTACTGATTCCAAATCTCTTAAAAACACAATCAAAAAGACTTAATATAATAATCCTATGCTTAAGTTATATGAGTAACACACACAAAAATCAAGATTTACAACTGGACCACAAATCTATAAAAGAGTATTAGAGATTAGATGCGAATTACGTGCAGAGTCCAATCGTAACGAATTGTTAAAGCCTTGCCTGCTTAAATGGCAGCCTGTATAACGTCAAGTGCGACCAGCCTGGATGTGAGTGTGGCCAAATATGTAGTCGCTGCAAATCCGTTTACAGGCACAATCTAGGTAAATGCTAGTAGCTTACACAATGACACTTTGACTGGCGCCACTGGCAGCCATTTGCTCCATTTCCATTTCCATCTGCATCGCCATTTCTATTTTCTACGTGCCCGGCCAACTGCTGGGTTGCCAGCAGGTGCAGGTGCTCTGGCTTGCTTAGTTGTGTTCGTGCGTCCGCTTTTGCGCTACTTTTGGCCAGTCCAAGACCAAACATAAAGACTGTTTGTGCTCCTTAGTTGAGATTGGACCTGGACCTGGCTGGCTGGCATTGGGTGTTGGGTGGCGATATCAGAGTCGGAGTCATGGCCCTGGCGTCACGTGGTCACAACATAAAAACGTGATGAAATTTCACAAAAATAAAAGTGAACTCACCCCAGGCTCCGGATCCGAACCCTCGACCATCCACCTCCGAGCTGGGGCCAGTGACAACGACAACGGCCGGCATTTGGTGTCGATGTTGAATTGTGGGTGAATGTTTTGGCAGTGGCAGGGGGCGGTGGGCTGCGGTGCGGTGCGGTGCTCTGCTTTTACGAGCAAGGCCATGCGATTGCTTGACATGGCTAAATGTGCCTTAGCAGCGTAAATAAGTAGTAAAAAATTTATAGGATTTGCGCTTTTCGGGACACAACAGTTGCAAAGGTTTTTGGTGTGAAACAAAAACGCGCACAATTAATAAAAATTCTTTTGGGGTTCATGTCCAACTGGCACGACCTCTGTTTAAAGCATGCACAACCAGACCGCGGCATAATAAACAATTACAAATGTCACATCTTTACCCAAGCCCGTCCATGCCGCGCGCTGCCCCTGGCCATCATCTGAGCTTAACTGCAATAAAGTCGGGCCCAAGTCGCATTTGCCCATAAGCGTGCAGCTCATAAAAGCCAAAGGCAACAAACAGCAATGGCCAATGGAGCAAAATGAAGCTGCGTGCATCGGGCAGCGGGCAAAAAGAGTTCACCATCTCCAAGCAGCTTTGCCTGTGCGTCGACGCGCCTCGTCCATTTTTATAATCGCATTTTTATGATTAAGACTCATTTTATGAGATTTTAACTGCTATTATTTTCGCTTTTAACTGTCACAATAAAGTCAAAGTTAAAGACAGCAAAAGCTCCACACAGCACTCTTCTTTGTTTATGCGGTCCAGAACGTTTTGTTTCCTAAATGGTCTTCCGCGTGGTGGCTGACCAAGGGAAACGCTGAGGGGCAGGCACTGCTAAAGGCAGACCGTTCACTCTGGCTTGCGAAAAGTTTACTATGCAGATTTCAAGCAAGAGATTTGTGCCCGGAAATCACATTTCATCACACAAGCCAAACAATTTATGCCCTGCAGAAAGGGTTCCCAACTGGGCTCTACCCACAAGTATCTTATAAGTAAATAATAATATCATTAGTATTTCTCCAAACATATATTGTTTGGTTAGTGCTACTATCGAATCGGACCAGTTATCGATAATTTATCAAATTCTCTATAAACCGATATATCGACTATCGATTCTGGCCGCCATCGAAGCGGGCCAGTAAAGCTACAACCTAAGCTATATATATCTTACTACGAAATGTCCAAACTCTGGTCTGGCTATAAGCAGGAGTTTATTGCTTAGCCATAAATCGATTACGTTCGACCACATTTTACGGCTAAAGTCAACGCTTGTCATTACTGGGTTAAATTTAATGCGAGCATTTCTGAAATGGCTCAACTCAAATATACAAATAAATATTGTTGTAAAAATTGATAAGCCTATCAAACGGCAATCGTTGAAGGGAACAAAGGACATTAGCAGCGACGCGGCCCGACGTTTACGGCTGAACGTCAGCTTTTATGGGGACCAGGGAGAGACAGGCAGGCAAGCAGCGGAAAACAGTCAAACGGGAACTCAGTCAAAATGTTCGGATATGAACTCTTTTTTAATGAGGTGCTAAAAATGCCGTTATTGTTATGACAGTCGGGCGGACGGGCATTAACGGTTGCTGGCAACGTCTCGTCCTGGCCCCAAATGCCGACACGCAGAGCTTTGTTGGCTTTTCGGCAGGACATTAACATTAAAGCCAAAGTTTTAATGCAGATTCGGTAACTTGGCTCGACGAACCGCTCCGAAGCGCCGTTTAAACATCGATTTGTAAATTGTTAAATGATTGCCGGGCTAAATGCGCGTGGCTAATGTCCCGTTCCGCACCGCTGGCAAGGGTTGTTCGCTTGTGCTGGGAATACCCGGCGGGGTGCAGGAGTGGGAAATGCGAATGATACTAAGGGTATATGTGCGTCTGGCCTGGCGGGACTCTCATCTATGCAGCATCATCGAATTCCACGCATACCCGAGCGATGCGCGTACATTTTTTCCTTACGTTCGTTGGCTTAGCAGCCAACGAGTCACAGCCTGCAGCCCTCACATGTTCTCCCTTTTTTCAGTTTGAATACCCTTTTATCCAAGTGCAGGGTACATTTTGTAAGATGTGGCTGTTATTTGTGCTTAATAGCTTAAGCTTCCTAACTGTTTATATGTAAATACAGAATTCAATTCAGCAGAAGTTTTGCTGGAAAGTCAATAAAAAAAAAGGATAAGAGTTAAGGCCTTCGTTAATTCGAACTCAATTCTTATTCTTATGAAAAGTTTTAAGCATGTTTTACTAAGCAGATACAAACATATTCAATGGTTGACCAAATCACTGGTAATTTGCGTACAGGGTAATTCCAAATTAAGCATTTCTACATAATTAAACATTTCTACAAACGCTCGCAATGGCATATTTATGCTTTTACTCCACGGAGCTTCTGAGATGACTGAAATTCCTACGGCTGTCTTTTAATAGTCCACACTGTTAACCCTTTCACTAGTGAATCTCTTACAGGGTATTCAAAAATGTATTTGTGTATTGTATTTATACAGTCGAATTTATGAATAGCATTTTTACACATATAGATAATCGGATATAGATAATCGTACTTGTCCTTAAATAGTTCAATATTGAATTTTCTATAGGGTATTCCAAAATGTTTCTGTTCAATTTAAGCGTTTACTTACAATCGTATTAAGAAATAGTATATTTACGATTCTTTTCCTTATACATATTGAAATATTTGGAAAATATTTGTTGCCCAGACATTCTGAGATTACTGAAATTCCACTGGCTGGCCTTCATTTGCAGCATCTTGAGTCTCCCACCGCTCGCGCTTATTAAAGCACTTCACTTACCGCTCAAGCGATTTGGCGGCCCAAAGTGGGGCTTCAGTCCAAGTACGGAAGTAGCCATTGAATATTCAAGCAGCTAAACACTTGTGTGTCCAGTGGAATGGGGCAGAGTTGTAGTTGTCGCATTTTTCTTTTTCAAGGGGGGGCTGAATGTTTCATTGGCGATTTTTATGAGAACTTTGACAGCCATTTAGAAAAATGTTGCTGTCGATTTTGGCCTTTCGGACAAACATAACACTTTGGCAGCCCGAGACGGCAGCAGTTGGCAAACAAATTTGAATTTATATTAATTTATTAGCATAGCAAAAGCGCAGCAGTCAACTTCGAGTGGACCCCACTGTCCTAGCCGTAAGCCCAAATCCGGCTAAATACGGCTCGTATTTTGGGCCGCAGTTGACACCAAGTGGCAGCCGCAAAACTTTTCGAGAGCAGGCCTTATAATGAAAATGAAAAGTAATTCCACAATTTCTAGCAATGAAGTCGCTAATTTGAAATGTAAATTGCCGTGCTAAGCAGTCGGATATAAAAAAGTGAGAAATAAGGAAAAAAGTGCGAGTGCTTCCCTCCAAATGACTGCCAGAGTGGGGCGGGCGTGGCTCATCTACACACATTTATTAATACGCGCATTTTTCACACCGGATTTGCATGTGGCCAGGGACTAGTCCGGAAACCGGAGCGACTTCATTTTGAGTTTTAAGTGTCGCCCGCCCAAAAATATGCAGCACTTGCGTGAAATATGCGCCCGAGATCCAAAGTAGCTGGCTCTATGCAAAATTATGCTAATGCCGCGCCCACATCCCAGGTGGGCGTGGCGGCAGTTGCAGGCTGCCACCTGCGCTTTATGCAACGAAATTTGCCAAATGTCAAGCGACCTAAGTGGCAACTGGAAGGGGAATGGCTGCTGTTGACTTTGGTTCGCATGCAGCTGACAGGTCGACAGTTGGCAGTGCCAAAAGTCAAAAAGGGGAGCAGCACACAGCTCGTTGCTGATGGGGCACACATGAACAAAACAAACAAGTGCCAAAGAACTTTAACCAAACGATTCTGCACTTTAAAGGTGCCCCCTTCCCTTAAGCTTCTGCTTCCTGGCAAGCGATCCAGCGCCAGCTTAGCGTTTACCTACACACTCATAAAATGCGCATTAAAACATACTGCGCTGGCCGGGTAAAATCCGAAAGGATTTAGTTGCGCCACAGGAGGTGGTTACTTCACGTCTATTGCGCCATCTTTGCATACACACACACACACACAGGCGCACACACACATTGAGCGACAGCCAACCGAGCAACCTCTGTGCCCCAGCTGGTAACATGAATGGCTTTTTCATCCATCAAACATGGCGTCAAACGTCACAAGGCTTGGCGCACAAAAAGGCAAGCCAGAATGCCCAACCCCAAAGCTCTATTGTCGTCTAATACCACAGCGCCCCGGCCCCGGCTCCACCCACTTTCCCCGGTGTGCCCCATCTATAGCCATGCATCACTTCCGCAGCCGCTGTCGGTGGGTGCGGCTGCCACCGCCGTGGGCTACATAATCTTTCGAGCTTTATGTGCTGATGACTTGCTGAGCCTGAGCTGGCGATGCCATTGCTGTTGCTTTTGTTATTGTTGTTGTTGCTGTTGTTGCTGCTGCTGCTGCTGCTGTTGAGGTCGGAGCTGTGTGGGCTGTTGGGGTTTACTGCGTGTTTGGTTGTTCCGAAATGTGCTGAGTCGGTTTTTGTGCTTGGTCGGATTTTCTACACTTTTGTTGGCATCACCCAGAGTGCTTGTTGTTGTTGTTGTTGGCTCAGCATGTTGCTGGCTTCTAAATACATGGACAGACACATACACCAACATAAGCATAGACATTCATATAATGCTTGTAATATTTGCGCTTAGCCTTTACAAGGGAAGCGGCCCTCTGGCCCGGCGAAAGGCGGCAGGCTGAAGGCGGACGGCAGGCGGCGCGAACGCCCCAAGTGTCCTTGGGGCTGCGCTTTCGCATTTCAGTTGAGTTCAAAATGTTTATTTTGTTGTCCTTAGGTTAGTCGCTTGCTCATTTTGTGTGCCTAACGCTTGTTTGCCGTATTTTGCCTGACTGTGTGCATGTATGTGTGTGAACATACCTACATACATCTTCTATATACATATATATACATTTGTGTGTGTGTGTGAGCATTGCTTTTTTATGGCGTTTTTGTGTGTGTTATTTGATTTGAACTGTTTGCATTCAGTGCTGTTTACATATCTCAGGAATATCTAGCCCGTGCCATCGGTAAATATCCTTGATCCATTTGCAAACAGAAGCAACAGAATTTGTAGCTTCTGAAGCTTTAAAATGCGCTATCTGAAAGTTTAACTGAAGTAAAAATCAAAATGAACTTGTTCTAAAACGAATGATGGCATTTTATGTATGCCTCGATAGACGCAAAACAATTAGAAACAAAAAGAAATAAATAATAAATATATGTTTTAAGAACAGCATTTAGCTAAAAAGAGAGATTATTTTCTGAAAGCAGCATTAAGCATGCAAAAATGAAAAGCGGGCTACCCACGCAGAGACATTATCCTAAAGCCGCAGATGTAAAAAACTTGTTAAATAAAAAAGAGTTTACAGCGCCAAATACAATGGGGCTGCAAACGCTGTGTTGTCGACGATGATGCAAAAATCCTTTAAGAAGGGATTTGCGATAATCGTCGGATGAGACGCGAGGGGGTTTTCAGCAACAAATCGGCATCAAGCGAGAGCAGCACAGGCCTTAAAATCTTATACATTGAAGGGAAACTCAGATACTTGGCAGTCACACGCTGAGCGACAGACGGAGACTGACGTTGGTGCTGATATGACTCCTCGATGCCCAATCCTCAT